CTGTTTTATTGAGGAGGCCAGCCACTAAATTTCTTGCTGACTGGCTCATTGTCAACTTCACAGTAGACTGAGCAAGCGAAAAACACCCAGTTAAAACACAAGATGGCGCACGCGTTGATGACGTCAGGTTTCATTTTATATATATATTCAGACTTTCATTATATACTCTCAAGATTCATTCAATATATTCAGTTTTTCATTATATATATTCAGACTTTCATTATATATATTTTCAAGTTTCAATCAATATATTCAGATTTTCATTATATATATTCAGACTTATATTATATATATTCAGACTTATATTATATATACAGTATATTCTCAAGTTTCATTCAATATATTCAGCATTTCAATCAATATATCCCTTTATTTCCTGAACGGCTTGCCATTTTAGAAGGAAGTATTATACTTTTTTCTGCACCACTGTGCTATTTGATAACATTAGTTACACTTCAGAATCAGATTAATAAAGCAAAATAAAAAAAAAAAAGATTTTTTTTTCTGTATTGTATTATTTGCTTTTTTGCCTGTATTTGGGTAGTTTTTTTCTTTATTAGTGTTATCTGGATTAATATTTGGTTTTGTATTATTATTTTGAATGATGTTTTTGAGATTGATTATGTGGTGTTGATTATGGGCGTGATGAAACACTTAGCATATGAGCCGAGATGGTACACAAGAACAAAACAACAATATTTTAACACTGTTTTTTAAGAAATCTTCAGTGATTAAATATATGAATGGAAAAAATATGCTTATTCAACTGAAAATGCAAAACAGAGCAGGTGCATTTTGAAATGTTTTAACTAATCATCTTGTAATGAATGTCACTTCAGTTCTACTTTCTGAGTATGAATTATCATATACAGTAAAAGACGACAATATGCAGCACAGGAAAAGGTTTTGCCACGAACTCAACTGACTGGCTTCTCTCCTGTAAGATTTCACACGAGTCTTTTCAGACCTTAGAACTATGCATGAACTATGCATGAGCTTCTAACTTCTAACTGAAGCTGTGTGTGAACTTCTATGCTATCTTCACCCTCACTGCACTGAAATGGACAGTGACAATGGGTAAAGGTCCTCCGTTCATGTACGGGGGACGATTGGGATGTGGACACCCATGGGGAGAAGACTCCCTTGTTTACCTTGTTAGCATGAGCATTTACTGCTAGTCACTGTGGAATTTGGGGCACAATTAAAGCACTATAACGACACGCCATGCATTTTCATTAGTGCTGGATGTTAAACTGTGCTTTTTATCTATCAATGTGAGGTGGTGGCAGAATTGGTGCAAAGGTAGAGCAGGCTACATATAGTAGCAGGGCTAACCAAAACACAACAGAAACTCACAGGCTGGAAACATAAATGAAGCCACCGAAGTCAACTCGTCACAACGTGGCTGTATCATACACGCCTACAACACCCCCCCTGCAACCCCTCACCCACTGACCAATACAGCCCCTTTAAAACACAGCAGTGAAGTGCGTTTTTGCCAGACTAATGTGAACGTATCATCACACTCCATCATAATGGCTGCTGTGTGCTGTTCCGGTTGTGTTATGTACTGAAATCGCAAGACAGCTTTTACCTCGACAAGAAATGTTGTTACATTTTAACACTGACAGATCTCATTGCATGAGATCTCACCATACCACTAGTGTTGATTGTTTGTTGGGAAAATAGGATATATAATTGTAACATGGAATGGGCTTGTTTTTAACCTGATGAGTATTGATGACACCTGGTACTGCTTGATTCCCTGATTAAGGGCATGAGTGGGTTTCTCTGTTTTTACAGTCTATATTGGTTTTTTTGATTACTTGCCTGACAAAGACCATGCTGGCTGAAACACAGCTGCTTGTTTTTGCTTGTTTTCTAATAACTAGCGTACAGTGTGCAGGCAACTTGTTTTTGTTTTTTTGTCTTATTCAGGTTTGTTGTCGTGCACCTGTGTCCCATTTGAATGTGTGCATCTTGTTCTGTTTTTTGCCTAGCTTCTTGAACATGCCAATAAAATATGTGTAATTATGGTAATAAATTCAGAATTTGCATTTGAAAAGAGGATGAAGGATTTGGCATCTGATCCCGTATCTAGGGACAGTTACAGTGGTCTCCAGGGATGGCTGCAGCATCCATTAAAATATATAAAAATGGTACTAATTAAGTTATATTTGTCTGGATTTCTGAACTGTTTTACAAACAATGTACTGTATCTTTGAAAATTTGTTAATTTGTTTTGCTTGTGGCTCTCTTGGGGGTCCAGTAGCCTTCCTTGCTCTCAGTTGGTGTGTGATACCTAGCTTCTGTCTTTAAAAAAAAGGTACAGGGTGGTGTGGTAAATAGCATTATCCTTTGCCACTGACCTAGCTTTAACTGTTCTGCCATCATCCCTGACTAAATTGGATGCCTTTGTCAGAAAATGAAGGCTAGCGGGAACTGTTTCCTCACTGGTGGCATGCTTTAAGTAATAATAACTGACCAGACGTTGATTGGAACAAACCCTAGAAGTGATTAGAATTTGACTGAAGAAGGTCAAAAGTCAAGGTCACAAAAAATTCCATCTTTAACATAGGGCAAAATTAATAAAAAGCTATCAAAATCATTTTTTGTTTGAAATTTAACACACATATGGCAATGTCTATCACCAGACCAAATTTCATCTGGATCTGACAGCCATTTGAATTAGTGAATGTTGTGCCGTGGGAGGTACATACACTCTCTGAGTGCTCTTGTTACTGTTGTATCAGTGTTTATATGGAGGCAGCTACAACAGCATCCTGCATCTGTCCCCACTCCCATCAGCCATGATAAAACTATATATACTAGCTTGCAAAATTAACCTTCAGTATGCTAGCTGTGTTATTTAAAAGTAAATAAAACAATGTAATTATGTAAGAATGTTAACACTGTTATAATTTTTTTAGTATAATACTTGTGTGGTGTAGAAGAGAATCATTTACGGCTTGCAAATCAATGATGGTAAGATGATGTCATGGGGTAGGACTGGATAAGTCTGACTTCTTCCTACTCCATTCAAGCATGTACTAGGTATAAGCACATTGATATTGGATTATGTGTACAATCATGTGTGTTGTCATATCAACTGTCTTTACATGCTTGAAAGAATAAATCAAATCAAATCAAATCAAATGATTAAAATAATATTTATGCAAACAGTCAATACAGTATCACAAGAAAAATGTGGTCATGAAAGAAATTACTTTCATACCCCCAGCTAATTAGACATGTGCAAAATGAGTTTCATGGTTCTGCAATGGTCCCCACGTTACATGTTTCTAAATGTTATGCTGGAAATCAAAGATAACTCCAAGGTTCCTGGATCACAGAACTGAGTTCAAAGCTAAGAGATCCATGTGCTGCTGAAAAATGTCAACAGACCAATTTGTTGCAAAGACTAGGATTTCAGTTTTTCTTTCATTTAACTGTAGGAAGTTATGAAACATCCAAGAATTGATCTTATTAAGACAGTCTCGTAAAATGGATCTGAGCAATCACTGTGGCTCAGGAGGTAGAGTGGGTCGTTTCCTAACTGTAGGATTAGCGATTTGATTCCCAGCTTGTCCAGTCAACATGTCAAAGTGTCCTTGAGCAATACACTGAACCCCCAGTTGCTTCCGGTGATAACTCTGGTGTGTGAATATGTGAGCGTTTATGAGTGCGAATGGGTGAATGGCCAAGTAGTGTGAAAGGGCTTTGAGTGTGCTATAAAGCGTAGAAAAGCGCTATACAAGTATAAGACCATTTACCATAGTAATGATGAGACACCTTCACACTCACAAATAATGAGTCCTTAAGGGAGCATGTACAGAGAATTAAACAGGTCCTAAAATTAATCCTTGAGGAACTTCAGAGGTTAGTGGAGCAGACTAAGATATTCGGTCAGGGACTGATACAAAAAAATGACAAAAAAAAAAAATCTATCAAAGGCATCACTTATTGTAAATCAAGGAGTACCAATACACAGTTTCCACCATGATCAGACTGCAGTAGGATATCCCTTGGAATTCTGAGAAGAACCATCTCCATGCTGTGCGTCTAGGGGAAGCCAGACTGAAATATGTCAAATAATTTGTTTTCCTCTAGGAAAATGTTAGCCTATCACCTATATACCATACTGCTGTAGCTTCACTGTATCAGTAGCTAAAACATTTTAGACAAGCTAACAATTACAAATTAGCTTATTCACACTATTAAAAAGCTCACTATACTTCATGTGTCTTCAGTGACTATAAATGAAGATTCATTATTGTACAAACATTTTACCCATAGTCATGTCAGTATAACTATGCATGTCAGTTAGAGTCGACACTGTAACACTGTTGACCATCTCAGTTGTCTCAGTTACATTTTAAAGGCTTACAACATAATCTGACAATTTCAATTCTCATTTTGTGTGTAGTTTACTTACTTGATATTTATAGCTACTAACTGACACATCTCAGTTTCCCCTTGGCATCTTCTGACCTTGTTATGTCAGTTTCTCAGCCAGAGCCAAGAGAATTATGGTTGCTCCGGATCAATCAGTCAGAACCCAAAATAGGGCACACATTTTCTCCTGTTGGTTTGCAACACAGTTTAAAAAAGTAAAGATATGTTTATCAGAGCTTGGTTCATAAATAAAAATTTGCATCTGTTTCCTTCCACTTATATGTCAACCCTGGTGTGTTCTTTAACTGAAGTGGAAGCTGAACTGAGATCCCTGATTTATCTGAGTCTAAGTTTTTGGTAGGCCAAATTTATATTTTGTATTTGCAGTTGTCATTTTTAGTAAATACTAAAAGTGTTGACTTTCCTCACACAGCCAAAACAAGTTACAGCAGCTACTTTCAGTGGAATAAAACTAATGTGCCAGTTCTCTTAATATAAAAACACCTTGCATCCCTGCATTCTCCCACTGCCACCAACACAGACAAAGGTCAAAGGTCAAAATGCTTATTTGTCATATGCATAGTTAGGAAACGTGTCTCTACAATGAAATTTTTTTTTTCCGTCCACATGAATGCCACACAATACAAGTGAAATATAAAGTAGATGAGCAATAACAAAAGTGGAGTGTGTTCCTGAGGACTGATACACTCTATATTATCATCCCTTATGTGTAGCATTGATTGGAACAGCACCCTAATTGTCAACAAAATGAAATGAAAACAAATGACATGATATATAGTTTGTTAAAAGTTTTGGAATACTCTTGGAAAGCTCAGTGTTACCTTAGGAGGCACAGCTGAAGAGATGACTCAGTTTCTCCTTCCATCCTTCTTCCCACATTGGTACTGCACAAGGTACCAGACAGACAGTGATGTATAGCTTTCACAGGAAGCCTCCCTCTCCACACTTCTGCCTGCTTAAGCTACTGTGAGGAAGAAACATGAAGTAGGGAACTGTGTCTTCTTCACCCTTTTTTCATTATGTCTATACACTGAAATGTGCTAAAATTGTAACCACTTTTGCAGTGAATTTCTCTAATATTTTATATCCATAATTCAAATCAATTCACTTTTATTTGTATTGCACCAAATCACAACAAAAGTCATGTCAGGGCACTTTATATAGTAAGGTATATTATTACTATTACAGAGGAAAAACCCAACAAATCCCCCTTGAGCAAGCACTTGGCAACAGTGGGAAGGAAAAACTCAACTTAACAGAAGAAGCCTCCAGCAGACCCAGACTCTTCGTGGGCGGCCTTCTGCCTCGACCGGTTGGGTTAACTCCTCAGCAGAAACATAGAGCTCCAGAGCCAGGGATACCTGCAGAAAGGTACAGGGAGAGAGAGAGGACACACTATGGGAGAGAGGAGACATTCAGTTAATGACATGTAATGCTGGCGTATAGATGCATCAAGAGAGATCATCGTGGGGGGACCCCCAGCACTTGGGGCCAAAACAACTTAATGCTTGACTTATAATCACTGATATATGGTGGCTTTAGTAAGTGTGAGCAAACTTTAGTTATTGCTGTGTAACTGCCATTTGCTTAGTCACTGCTTACATTATGACTTTTTTTTACTTGTGTAAACGTTCTCATATGTTTTAGCTGCGGCTTTGGGGTAGAGCAGGTTGACCTCTGGACACAGGGTCAGCAGTTCCATTCCACAGTTTGCTCCTGGTGGCCTGGCAAGTGGTTTGCATGGCAGCTCTGGGTAAATGTCTAAAGGGCTTTGTGCAGGTAAGGTAGAAAAGAGAAAATTTACAGTGGCCTGAAAATGTATGGTTTTTTGCATTAACTGGATATATAATGTGGTTTGATCTTTATCTAAGTCTCAAATATAGACCAACACAATATGATTACACTAATAATACACCAACAATTCAGTTTAGTAATCAGCAGCTATAACCTCAAACAAGCACTTGTGGTAGCCCTGGGTAAGGTCTGCACAATATTTAGGAGGAATTTTGGACCATTTTTCTTCACAGACCTGCTTCAGCTCAGTCATATTCTTAGAACATCTGGTGTGAACGGCTCTCTTGAGGTCATTCCACAGCATCTCTACTGGGTTAATGTCTGGGCTCTGACTGGGCCAGGCCAAAAGATGAATTTTTTTCATTTGAACTGTAGTAGAATTTAATGTTCAGGGTCATTGTCCTGCTGCACCACCACATTGACATTATCCTGTAAGCTAAGAAGTGCCTCATTTATTAAACTGTCAGATATCAACATTTATGTGCACACAAGATAGAGAAAAGGCAGACACCAAGAAATGATCAGATTTATTGTATATTAATATGTGTAGATTTTTCTCAGTGAACCTTATAATCAACCCTAAACACTCCCACAATCAACTGTAATGGTCAATGCAAAACACTTATGAATATCAATATACATGTTTTGCTGAGGCAGTGTTCAAGGTCAAAGTGTTTATTTGTCATATGCACAGTTAGGAAACGTGTTTCCCTGTACAATGAAATTCTTACTTTGCCGTCCACATGAATGACACAAAATACAAATGAAATATAAACTAGATGAAAAAGTAACACAAATTCTAAGACACTTTAGAGATATAATAAGAATATATAAGAATATAATAAGAGAGTGTATGCTGCATGGGAGCAGCATGTGCAGCAGTCAACAGTCATTGTGCAATTGTGCATGTGCAAACTGAGAATGTAAACAGTACAACACGTATTTCCTGGTAATAAACTCCTCAGCTGTTTAGGAGTCTGATGGCAGAGGGAAAGAAATAGCTTTTAAGTCTAGAAGTCCTGCATTTCACACTTCTGAACCTCCGGCCAGAGGGTAGGGAGGTGAACAGTCCGTGCTAGGGGTGGGTGTTGTCCTTGTGCATGGAGGCAGCTTTCCTATGCACCCTGCGGTGGTAAATGCTCTGCAGAGAGGGCAGTGGAGTCCTGGTGATCTTCTCCACAGTCTTTACCACTCTCTGCAGGTGCTTGCCGTCCATAGCAGTAGCGCTGCCATACCAGACAGTGATGTAGCTGGTCAAGATGCTCTCAATGATGCAGCTGTAGAAGTTGCAAAGGATCCTAGGTGACATGCCAAACCTCCTCAGAGGTTACAAACCAAACAATGTTTGAGAAGTTACTGGTTGGAGCAGCTGTTAATGCAACAAATAAGACAATCCCCAAATTAAACAAAGTGCTTAGACGTGGAGGTGGATGTCTTAAATACTTTGCTGCAGACCATCAGAGCATCCCCAGTGGGGGCACAGGGACATATACAGTACCTACCTGATGAAATCACACTCAATATTTAATAAAACAACACTCTGTGCTCTGAGGGTTTGTGAATGTGGAGATGAACCATCACCAAGTGCTCAATTATTTAACAATGCTCAATAATGAGTCACAGATGTAAATGGTTACGATTCGTCATAACTATCTTAGATCTGACCATATTTAAGATAAACCAATGTACAAATGAAAATGACGTCAAAGGTTGCTTTTTCTTGCCAATGTAAATGGTTTTATCACTAAAGTAAATAAGGTTAATACTGCACACCTCCAGGAGACAGGTTGGGTGTTGTCTCATTGAACTGACTCTCAGTCAGGTCACTGAATGAGATTGTCTTTAAACCAAATTAATGTGCCATGTCATAATCTGCTGTAGTGGTGTTACAGCTTGTTTATTCCATGTCCCATCTACACAGGCCTCCTCCTTGACTGTGACCTTTTATTTTTTTCCTTCTTGGTCTCCAGCAAACTGCTGAGATGGCAGCAAATAGTAAACTCAAATTATACGGTGGCTGCATTTAGAATCTAAGAAGTGCTACATTTTCTAGTGAATTGGTTGCAGTTAGAAAGATCAATAATCTTTCTGTGGCTGCAAATAAATTAATAAATATATCTGTTTATACTTTATTTATTCTTTCACAAATACTATCTGTTATGGTTTGTGGACTCACTTCCTGTTTTTGTGCTTTTATTTTGGTTAGATTTTCTGTTTTGTTAGATTAGATTCAACTTTATTGTCATAACCCATGTACTAGTACAAGGCAACGGAATGTCTTGGTCTTGGTCTTCTCCTCCTCATACTGTATTTGATCTGCATGCGCTCATGCTTGGCTTTGAAGTTCCTCAGCATTGATGATGTATTATTATACACCAATTGCTGGGGACACAGCAAGCACTGGGCCTGTGTAAACAGCAATATGCAAACAAATTATTAGATACATCACTATAATGCTACTTAATGTTGACTTCAAATACATCATGGATATATGAAGACTATTGTACTGGCTGTACTGACAGTATTAGCCATGTATGCAACTTTGCCTAAGTTACATAAAGGTGCAGTAGCATAACCAAGGAGTAATAAAGCACCTACCTTATTAGGACTGATCAACTGAAAGTATTCCCACATTGGAGAACGGCTTCTCTTCCTAGCTGGCTCCATGATGGTGATCAGTGATAACAACAGCAGCTACCCACACACCTACTACGACAACAACCCCACATGTTTACAGACAGTATGGACTGGTTTGAACCAGTCACATGATTCACTCAGGTGACCGGAGCAGGACGTCATCGGTCATGCATTTTTTCCGTACCAAATCAAGCTTTGAAGCAGCGGTTCGAGGAAAATCCTGCTTTGAGTTTGAAGCTTGTATCAGAGCATCGATGTCAGATGGTCAATCACTAGTTTTGGATTTACTTGTCGTTAAGGATTCTTGGTTTGGTTCTTCAGTTTTGTTTGAGTTCATTTTTCCTCGCTCCCTGACTGAACTGTTTTTGTTGTTGTCTGTAGTTGGTATTTTTGTTACATTGTGTAAGGTTGAGCTCCTTGATTCCCCCCCTTGTATCTTTGCCCTTATATTAAAAGTCTACTACAGCTATTCCTCAGCTTGTGTTTCGCATTTTGGGTTCTACCTCTCGAGCCTCGCTCTGACACCATCAAAGTATGCTGCTTAACTAATTTACACTCTGAAATGTATCTTGCTTGGCTACCCTCATTAAGAATCCTCAATTAAAATGATCTTTTGTCTTCCTCCAAGGCAGCTACAGTACAACTTGCTCTGTGTCCTCCTTTGAGCTCTCCTGTTATCTCCATTCCTTTGTTACGTCCTGTGCTAACCAATCACAGAGCTGTCTGTGTTGTCTCAACATATGTCTGCCGCTCTTTTTCACTCAGGTGATCTTGGCAGCCAACGTGGCTGCGTACTCAAAAATAATGTCACATACTTGTCAAGGAGATACAAAGAAAAGCAAGTTAAAATATGCAAAGAGAGCTCGGCAGTTTGCGTGTGGGAGTGCTCCATATTGTTGATCGTGCCTTTCAACTTGCTTACTACTACGAAAGTAGCAGAAGTGTAAGATCACCAAATAGCTGGGAGGTGGTGGGTGTGTGTTTCATTAAGCTGATGAATAAAGCTTTCAGGGTGTCAGGTGAGCTGAAGTAAAAGGATGGAGAAAAGGTGACAAGGAAGGAGATAAGGAAACTGAGGACAAGATAAAGTGGTGGGAAGAAAGACCAGGTCAATATAAGAGAAGTTAATGAGTTAGGGAAGGAGGAATGATTTGAATGGGAGGAGAGTGAAAGACAAACAGTTGAAGAGAGAGAGAGATGAGACAGATAAGTAGCAGTAATTATCAGTGAGTCCGAGCCCTAGAGCTGGTGCTGATTAAGCTGGGTTGTATTTTTTTTTTTGGCTCTGCAGTAATTAGCTTTAAAATATCATTCTCATTATCCAAATGCAGAAATGCCTAAACATTTATTTACTGAGCAACAAACACCAAACCAAGCATTTAGCAGCTGTCTTTTGAAATGTGTACATTTAGGCCTCTTGTATTTACTAACAGACATATAACTGAAGGATTCCTCCAGAACACAATTTTGTACTAAAAGACTCTGCTGATAAATAAATGAATTATGTTAAAATAAAAATGCACAATGGAATTACTGCTTATTTTAGTT